TAGTTAGTTAGTTAGTTAGTTAGTTAGTTAGTTAGTTAGTTAGTTAGAGACAGCCCCTGCTCCCCTTATTAAGGAAATCACTTGGAGACTGATTCTTTTTTTTTTTTTTTTTTTTGGCTCTGTTGGTCTCCTTGTGGAACTCCTGCCCTATCCAGGTCTTTCTATCTCCCCTTTCTTCCATAAGATTCCCTGCTCTCTGCCCAAAGATTGGCTGAATCTCAGCATCTGCCTTTTGATACCCTAATGGGTAGATTCTTTCAGAGGCCCTCTGTGGTAGGCTCTTGTCCTGCAATCATCATTCAGAAGGACAAACAGTATAAACATCGGAAGTGGAGAAAACATGAAACATTAGCCATTTTTTATTGTACTTCAGAATTCCACAATGAAAAGACACAGACTAACAGAATGGATGCAAAAACAGATCTATCCTGCTGCATGCAAGAAACACACCTCAACATCAAAGACAGACATTATCTCAGAGTAAAGAGTTAGGAAAAGATTTTCCCAAACAAATGGACCCAAGAAGTAAGCTGGAGTAGTCATCTAAAAAAGTAGATTTCAAACCAAAATTAGTCAAAAGAGATGAGAAACGATACTTCATACACATGAAACAAAAAGTCCACTATGATGATCTTTCAGTTTTTGAAATCTATTCTCCAGACACAAAGACACCCTCATTTGTTAAGGAAACACCGTTAAAGCTTAAATGATACACCAGCCCTTACACATTGATAATAGGAGGCTTCAATACCACATTCTCAACAATGGGCAGGTCATCCAGACAAAAACTAAACACTGAAATAATGGAACTAACATATTATGAACCAAATGGACCTAATAGATACCTACAAAACATTTCACCCAAACACAAAAGAATATACCCTCTTCTGAGCACATTATAGAATTTTCTCCACACCTTTAGTCAGTAGGAAGCAGGTGAGGGGCAGAGCCAAGGTGCCTGCTCATCCATGCCCTTGCCACCAGGGTCAGCTCTACTGTGCTTCCCAGACAAGGTACAAGGCCACTCTCCTGAGTGCTGCAGCTGGTGAGGACCAGGGCCAGATCTCTTGCTCTCATGACCCCAGAGCCAGCTCTCCCATCTGCCACAGGTGGTTAGGGATGATGGGGAGGAGCTTATCGCTCCCTCTTCCACACCAACTCACAGGAGATGAGTGGTAGGGCCATCTTTCCCTAGTGCCTTGGGGAGTCATCTCACCTGCCACTTCTGCAAAGTGTGGCCTGCTGTCCCGAGTACTGCCACTGGCTGGGGGCAGGGTGAGCTTTCCTGCTCTCCTACTCCCTGGGCTGCCTCTCCTCTGGTGCCCAGGTGAGAGCTGAAGACAGTCTGTACAGCTCTCAGATATCAACATGTCCCCGGGCAGCAGCCCAGACCAGAGATTCCTACCTGGCCTTTGGTGGGAACAGAATTCTGCAGCTGCAGGGCCACAGACAGAGATGGTTCCTCGTGGCAGCACAAGACAAATCCCCATCATGGTCTCAGGTGGCATCACCAGCTACTCACATCAGGCTGTTCCTCACTGCCTTGGAGTCTCCAGTTCTGCCTCCCTACTCTTTCTCTTTCTCTTCCATGTTTTCACCACTTATTTGCTCTATTAGTGGCACCCAGGGTTTCTGAGTGGGGTCATCTCAGGAGTGCTATCCTCCACTCCTGTATTATGTCACCAGGCAGGGTCATTGTGGGTAGGGCTCCTCTTCCCAGGCCATGTGGTGCCAGCCTGTTGGTCATCTCAGACTCACTCCTCACTTGCCCAACCACACACCCAATTGGCCCCTAGCGAGGGTTGTTTGTTTCTGGCTTACACCTACCCAGGAACCTGTGCAGGCCTGCCTGGCAGGATGGTCATTCTAGGTTATCTTGCTGTTTAGACTCCCTGGCTCCAGACTGGTGCTCATCTCAGACTCACTTTTTTTTTCAGGGAATGTTAGGCTATTAATTGTTCAGATGTTCATAGGACAGGTCACTGAGCATAGAATAGCCTCTCTCCTCTCTGTCACCTACTGACACACATGGGACACAGAAGCAGCACCTGGTATCTTGCTACTTTGCTGAAAGTGTTTATCAGCTGTAGGGGTTTCTAGTGTCAGTTTGTGTACTATCATATAATTTGCAAATAAAGACACTCTAACTTCTCCCTTTCCAATTTGTATCCCCTGATCTCCTTCAGTTGTCTTATTGCTACTTTATTGAATAGAAATGAAGTGAGCAGACAGCCTTGTCTTGTTCCTGATTTTAGTGGTATTGATTTTTGAATTTCTCTCAGTTTAAGTTGATGTTAGCTATGGACTCGTTTTAAATTGCCTAGGTATGCCCTTTGTATCCCTGATGTCTCCATAATATTTATCATGAAAGGGTGTTGGATTTTGTCAAAGATCTTTTTCCATGTAATGAGATGATCATGTATTTTTTGTCTTTCAATTTGTTTTTATGGTGGATTACATTTATCAATTTACATAGGTTGAGCCATCCCTGCAATTCTAGGATGAAATGTACATGACCATGGTGGGTTATCTTTGTGATATGCTCAGGGATTTGGTTAGCAAGTATTTTACTGAGAATTTTTGCATCTATGTTCATAAGGAAAATTGGTCTGTAATTCTCTTTCTTTGTTGTGTCTTTATGTAGTTTGGGTAACAGGGTAACTCTGACTTCAGAAACCAAACTGGGCAATGTTCCTTCTGTTTCTATTTTGTGAAATAATTTGAGGGGCATTGGTATTTGTTATCTCTTCTTTGAAAGTGTGGTAGAATTCTGTGCTAAAACCATCTTGCCCTGGGCTTTTTAAAAGAACTTTAAAAATTTTTTAAATTACATATGTTAATTATGCTCATAATTTAATTAAAATATAATTGATATGTTATATATAATTAAAATATATGTTACCATAAAGATCTCTTGCATATATAATATTATTCCAGTTCAATGTTTTTAATCAGATTCCTGAGTGGGAAAATGAGTGGGTCTCTGTGTCTATATATGTTTCTTTTGTCTATTCTTGGGCTCTTTTCCTTCTATTTGTTTCGTCCTATTCTTCTGTTTTAGTTTCTGTTTTATCTTTTATTTTGCTATTTTCCCTTAGAAGCCTGTTTATTTTTTAATAGAGACTGAAATGAGGTGGATCCAGATGGCAGGGGATGTGGGAAATACTAGCAGGCGTAGAGGGAGGAGCAACCCGAATCAGGATATAATATATGAGAAAAAAATCCATTTTCAATAAAGGGAAGAAAAACAACCCCCCTAAACAAAACAAAATAACAACAAAAAACACTTTAGGAGACACTCTGTGTGTGTGCATAACGCCTATTGCAGAAGCTAAAAATTACTTTTTATTTACATTTTTAATACTTAGTTTTTACATTTTTACTTAATAAAATTAATTACCATTTCATGTCTTTTCTGTTTTATGACATTTACTAGTAATGTATTATGATACTATATGTAAATTAAACAGTTACCATTGTTACAATTAGTTATTGGACTGACTCTCATATGTGTGGAGTCATATGACATTCTATGTAATCCTGACTCTATGACCATAACAAGGGAAGAGTCAGGACTGAAGTATTATTCTTTTTTACCTTTCTATAGATTAGAAAAATTGTCATTTATTTCTAATTTTTTAGCTAACTCATGGATAAACCAGTTATTCCCTGAAGATCATTTGTAACTGACCCATTAGGACTTTTATTGAAAACAAAATTGCAACATTGGCTTACCAAGTCTAATGTGAGCTTTCACATATTTCTTGCACACAAAGCCACATATTTTCTGTTACACGATGCCCCAAGTGTTGCTTTTTGGGGAGAATTTTCTTTCTTCCTGCTTGGACAGAGACTCTTCTGTCCAACAAAAAGCTTTGGAGAACCTTTCAGATGTTGCCCCCGGCACAGCGTCTCTTTCAGGCAGGACGGTCTTAGCTGCCACGCTCAGAAACCCACGTTGAGCTAACTTAAACAACCAGATGTGAAATTTGCTGGAAGAATATTGGAGTCTTTTTGAAAGACTCCCGGTGAGCCTCTCTAGACGGGGAGACCCCGCTTCCCAAGGAACAGCGAAACCAGCCTTCGGATGCAAGCCGCAAGAGGTTTATTTTGATACACGGGTACCCGGGGCGACAAAGCCTTTCGGAAGACTTGCGCGCCCTCTAGGTGGAAAGCTGGGGTTTTTATAAGGTTTTAGAGCAGAAGCGCGGGTACAGAAGCGAGAAGCATGGTTACAGGGGGCTGACTGGTACATTTACATGAGACCACAGTTTGAGTCAGAGTTTGGCAGGGACACCAGGATTCCAGGAACTGGGTGGTCGAGATGGTCATGATGACCCCTTAACTTGGCCCGCCACTTGTTGTTTTCCTTAGGACTCGTATCTCAACTGGAACAGTCTCACAGATATCCCATGAGGGTGATTAACACAAGCTGTTTTTGGCTCAACTGGGGCAGCCCGACCGCAGATATCCCAAGTGGGCGACACAGCTGGGTTTCTCAGTAATTTTCCAGTTCCCCTCCTAGCCTACAGAGTTTCTCAATACAGTGGTATACCACGAAATGGCGTTAGCTATGTTTGACTTAGGGTGAGGCGGGGGTCTTTCATTTTCAGTTCCTGGATCCCACTCTCTACAGGCAGCTGAACCACTTCAACTTTGGTCAGAAGACAATCTTATTAGGTGATATTTAAAAATTAATTGCTTCCAGTATCTTTTGTTTTGATTTTTTTAGTGGAGTATATTTTGCATTTGGTTAAGTACATGCACCTTATGGACAGCTTGAAGTTTTACGTGTGAGCATGCTCAATATTGAGCACTTCTGGCACCCCAACAGATCCCTTACATATCTGCCGCTTGATAACCCCCCAATTATACCGCCATCTATATCCCTGTTTACATTGGTTAGGTTGGTCTATTTTAGAACTCCACAGAAAAGGAATCACATAATCTGGCTTCTTTCACTTAGCACCTGTTTGGTATTTATCCATGCTGTGGGATGTATCACTAGGTTTGCTTTTTCAAAATTGTATGTATTCCATGTACAGCTACACTGTAGTCCGTCCATTTGAAGACTGTGACTCCACATGTGTACCTTTTTGTGAATATAAACAGTCATTTCTTGTGGGAGTGTACCTAGGAGCAGTATTGCTGGACCAATAAACTAACATGCATATTTAGCTTTAGGGAATTTCACCCAATAGATCAATTATGTCCCGAGGAGCAATGCATCAGTGTCTTCCCCAAATCTTTTTTCTTTTTTATTTGTCTTCAAAATTAGGCAGGGTTTTCTTTTCTTAATTAAAATTTATATTGTGTATATGTGCACATGTGTGTTTGCACATGTGTGGAAGATGTGGGTGCATGTAGAGGTGAGAGGACAGCTTTCAGGAGTCGGTTCTGTCCTCCAAGGGATCCTGAGGCTGCTGTGTTTGCAGGGCAAGCACCTTTACCTGCTAAAGCCACCTCGCTTGCTCTTGGTAGGGTTTTCTAGATCTGCCTGGAACCCTGAAATCTGCATGAGATTTGCCAGAGAAGTTCATGCTAAAGGGAGGTGAACCTTTTTTGGCAAAACTTAGCATGAGAGCTAGCCTTTTGGAGGAAGTGTGGATATTTATGTGAAACAAGGTAAATAAATATCAGTTACTACAAATGTGGAGTCATGGAATCCACATAGAACAATGGTTTACAACCTGTGGATCATGACCCCTTTGGGACTCAAATGACTTTCACAGAGGTCACTGATCTGAAATCTGGAATGTCAGATATTTACATTATGATTCATAACTGTAGCAACATTACAGTTATGAAATAATTTTACGGTTGGGGGATCACCATAACATGAGGAACTGTATTAAAGTGTGGTCATAGTATTAGGGAGATTGAGATCCAGTGACCTAAAACTTCTTAATGACTTGCAGCAGAAGAGAGAGGATCCTAATAAGGGCTGCATAAACTCTCTCAGAATGAGGGACTCATGTTGCAAGGATCATTTTCAATCTATGTTTCTCCTGAACATATCTCAATATCCAGGAACATTGGTACCGAAAATTGACTTGGCAATCATTCCTCAAATTATGCTTCGATTTTAAATGATAACTGAATTTCTGTAAAGCTATTTCCTACAACCAGTCATAGCCTGTATGTTCTTTTCCAGCCACTTGCAAAAAAAAAAAAAATCAGTTATTTGTTAGAAAAAAAAAACAAGAAAAATTTCTCTTTTCTCGTTGCTGCTTGCACAGGCTATGTTGGTTTTCAATTCCATAAATGTCTGGCTGCATTGCAATGCTACAACGTTCAGACTGCAAGATGACTGGGACAGTCTGGTTCTCTCCCAGCCTTAAAATGCAGTGTGGCTAAGGTTGAGCTTGCCGCAAAGATGTTAAGTAAATAAATTCACCTGTGTAAGTTTAAAATTGCATGAAACCCAGGTTTCCCAGTGTTCAAGGGCCCACCTTTACCTTTTGACACTGAGCCTTGCAAGACAGGGGGAGTCCTGATTATTATTATTATTATTCTATTGTTCCCGGGGTTCTGAGATACCCCAGTGAGGTCACTCCTATTATTTTAGTCCTTTTGTCCCCACCTCAGCCAGTTCTGGCTGCTTCCATACCCCTTGGTAGGTCCCCATTGATGGATGGTAACTGGTTTGCCCTCTGGCTGATCCTTTTGTTTTGCTGCATAACAAGGGTAGATCTGGGCCAAATAACTTCAAACCAACATCACTGAAGCTGTGTTTATAGCACAAGTGAATTATAAGCGGAACATATTACAGTCGCTCCCTGCTCTGCGGGGTCAAGTAGTCTCTTATTAGTCAGGGCTTTGTTTATAAATGTAGAACAGGCCCAGAGAGGAACATGCAGGGACCTGGGACTGGGCATCTGAGCAGCTGTCACCTCCTGACCTCAGAAGGTAGGGAGGGGCATGTTTCAGATACCTGGAGGAGAGTTCTGGAGCTGACTCTCTGAGTCGAGCAGGCAGGTGTTAGTGTTCTTCTCCTTCTTCCTGTCATCTCCTACCAGGTTTGCTCACCAGACCAACCCACTCTGAAGCCAGCACGCACAAGGAGATTGTCCAC